ATCTATCTATCTATCTATCTATCTATCTATCTATCTATCTATCTATCATCATCATCCATCCCTATCTACCTATCTACCTATCTACCTACCTATCATCTATCTATCTATCACCTACCTACCTGTCATCCGTCTATCTGTGTCTGTCTGTCTCTCTGCCTACCTACCTTCCTGTCTGTCATCTACCTGTCATCCATCCATCCACCTATCTGTCATCCATCTATCTATCTGCATCTATCTGTCTGTCATCTGTCATCTATCTGTCTGTTTTTCTGCCTGGCATCTATCTATCTACCCATCCAGCCATTTATCCACCCGCCCACTCCCTTCCATCCTAACTGCAAGCACACCCCAGCTGATGACTTACTCCATTGTAACCCTCCTCTAACTCCATTCTGCCCCCTTGGGGGGGTGGGAGGGTCCCCAGAACCTGAGTCAGGGTGTCCAAATAGCCTGGATCAGCAGACACCTAGTGGGACAGAAATAGGACAATAATTATAATATGCACAACAGTGTGACATCACAAGGGTCTGTTCTTTCGCTGGCATTAGCCTTCATTTGCATCTAGTCCTTCTTAAGGATGCCATAATGTTTTGACGCATTATTATCATGATGGCTCATTGCAGTCAGCCAGATGTTGAGATTGGATTTGGCATTTCTGTCCCACTATTGGATCCTTCCAAAAGACCTGTGACAGGCAGATATGGATAAATGGATAACCTCTATCACCAATGCATGACCTCAGAATTGTAAATCAATTCTTTTCCCTTTTTTCCTCTGATAAAATATTCCATGTCTGGGGTTATTTGAAAATCATCATTATCCATATTTTGTTAATAAAATGAAATTCAAGGTAGAGAAAAGTAAAGCCCTATACTTAGGCAAGAAAAACCAAAGGAACTCACACAGACTGGATGAAACCAGGTTTAATAGCAGTAACTGGGAGAAGGATTTTGGACTCTCAGTCGACAACCAGCTAAATAGGAGCCAGCAGTGTGCAGCAGCAGCAGCCAAAAAAGCTAATGCAATCCTAAATTGCATTAACAGAGGGATACAATCAAGATCAAGAGAGGTACTAATACCACTCTATAAAGCCTTAGAAAGGCCACACCTAGAGTACTGCATCCAGTTTTGTTCACCACATTATAAAAATAGATGTTGAGACTCTAGAAAAAGTATAGAGAAGAGCAACCAGGATGATGAGGGGACTGGAGACTAAAACATATGAAGAATGGTTGCAGGAACTGGACTTCGCTAGTCTAGTAAAGAGAAGGACCAGGGGAGACAGGAGAGCAGCCTTCCAAGATTTGAGGGGCTGCCACAGAGAGGAGGAGGAAGGGGTCAAGCTATTTTCTAAAGCATCTGTAGGCCAGACAAGGAATAATGGATGGAAACTGAACAAGGAGAGATTCAACCTGGAAACAAGGAGAAACTTTCTGACAGTGAAAACGATCAACCGATGGAACAGAATTTCCCTTCGGAAGTTGTGGGAGCTTCATCCCTGGAGGCTTCCCAGAAGAGACTGTACTGCCATCTGTCAGAAATGGTGTAGGGTCTCCTGCTTGGGCGGGGGGACGGGTTGGACTAGATGACCTACAAGGTCCCTGCCAACTCTGTTAACTTAGTTTTGTTTTCTCTGAATTCTAGACAGAGGTCCAACCTTCCATCAGATAGAACCGTCTTCCAACTCCCTGAATGGATTGAAGACATCCAACACGGTTTTAGTTTGGGGTGTGGGACGAAGACAAACGCCTCCAGCCCATCTCCAGGGATATTGGCGGGGGGAGAAAAAATAAAAAGAGGTATAGAATGAGTGGCAGGGGAGATTTCACACACAGGAAGGTATTCAGGCTGCCCCCCCCCCCTCCAGCCCCCATTACTCAGAAATTCCTGCCTTAGGTGGAGGTGAGTGTGTGGCATGAATACCGCCTCTGTTACCTACAAAGAGGCCTCAGACAAGCAGTCAGGAAAGCCCACACCCCACAGGCAGCCTGACTCACGGAGGGCATCTTTCCAAGAGGCTGACTGGTTGGCACTAGGGCAAGGAGCGGCTCCTTTTGGGAAGGGGAAAATGGGTCAATGCTGGGGGGGCGGGGGGGAGAAATATCAGCACCCCGTTGCAACATCCTGGAGGTCTCTAGGGTGGGATTCTGTCCAACAACAGAGGTGGGATTCAGCCGGTTCTGACCAGTTCTGGAGAACCAGTAGCGGAAATTTTGAGTCGTTTGGAGAACCGGCAAATACCGCCTCTGACTGGCCCCGCCCCCATCTATTCTCCGCCTCCCGAGTCCTGGCTGATTGGCTGGGTCTCCTTTGGTTGCCCTGCAGAGGAGAACGGAGCTGGAAAGCAGGTTAGCAGGGTGGGGAGGGAATGCGGATTTTGCAGTAACCTTTCCCCAGGAGTAGGGACTGAATGGGGATTTTGCAGTATCCTTCCCCTGCCACGCCCACCAAGCCA